CTAACTAGCTAAAATCACTCATTACTCTTTTTATCGTGTTTGGAAAGAGTAACTGAAGGAAAAGAGAGATTGGTGTGTAAATTCCAAAAGAATAGTGATATGTTAATGGAATGTATTGGCAGCAAATCCTGTTTCATCAGATGCATGAAATGGACAAAGGTGGTATGTATACATGAGGCTCCTAGCCAGAGGTTATTGTGGTAGACTGAGAGGGGGCAATCATAAGTAAGTTGAAATGGTAGGATGTTTGACATTTAATTTAAGTGATACTGACAGAATTGAAAGTGTCAAATGGTCCTAGATCATCCTTGTGCCTTTGCATCCTTGTCTCCCCCCCCCAAAAAAAAACCCACCCCAAACCAGTGGAAGTAGCCTTACTGCTTACTGAGCAAATAGGTTTTTAACCTGCTTTCATAAGTACAGGTGCTATAAACTACATTCTTTGCACATTATATGAGTAAATAGTCTGCTGTCTTCAAAAGCTCATTCACAATAAACTGTTCATTACTGAGGTATTACTGAGGTACTACAAAGGCTTTCACTGTTACCTGTCCTGGATTTAAAGTATTTATATGAAGCTATTCTACCTGACAACAGGCCTTCAAGGTGGCTTACAATCAGGAAAAAGATACAATAAATACAATAAGATTTTTTTTTAAAGCAAACTGATACGAAGGGGGGGGGCAGTGATATGTCCTCTTTCCAGTACTCTTGCTACAACTGTTAGACATCAAAGGATCCTCCGTGGCCATGAGGGAAGCCTCTGTCCCTGGAGTGTGCCACCCAGCAACCAGGGCCTGAATCACTGGATGATGTTGTTGCTGCTGGGAGGTGTGAAGCTTTTCTTCATGCAGGGAGAAGGAGAGTCTGCAGCTCCTGATTGCAGCAGTGAATGATGAAAGCACTGGGGGGGGGGTGAACTATCCAGGGATTAGATGTTTCAGTGACACTCTAAGACTGACACTTTGTGTTTGATAATCTATTTTAAGTGTGTATGGGAAGGAGATCCATTGTTCAGCTAATAATATTTTTGTACTGAAACAGGCAACTATCACCCCTGGTTGGTTCTTTTGATCTTGGTGAGAAAACCACGAAAATTCCAAATGTTACCATCAGCAAACATTGGAGCCAAAAATCCTAAATATAAATGCACATTAATGGGGTCCAAACTGGCAGACACTGACCAAGAGAGAGATCTTGGAGTCGTAGTAGATAACCCAATGCAAATGTCAAGACAGTGTGCGACTGCAATAAAAAAGGCCAACGCTATGCTGGGGATTATTAGGAAGGGAATTGAAAACAAATCAGCCAGTATCATAATGCCCCTGTATAAATCGATGGTGTGACCTCATTTGGAGTACTGTGTACAGTTCTGGTCACCACAACTGAAAAAGAATATTATAGCATTGGGAAAAGTGCAGAAAAGGTCAACTAGAATGATAAAAGGGTTGGAACATTTTCCGTATGAAAAGAGGTTAAAGCGCTTGGGACTTGGAGCTTGGAGAAACGATGACTGAGGGGCGACATGATTGAGGTCTATAAGATTATGCATGAGATAGAGCAGGTAGAGAAAGAAGTACTTTTCTCCCTTTCGCACAACACAAGAACTCGTGGGCACTCCATGAAATTGCTGAGCAATTGGGTTAAAACAGATAAAAGGAAGTACTTCTTCACCCAAAGAGTGATTAACACAAGGAATTCACTGCCACAAGAGGTGGTGGCAGCTCGAAGCATGGACAGCTTCAAGAGGGAATTAGATAAACATATGGAGCAGAGGTCCATCAGTGGCTATTAGCCACAAGGTATAGATAGGATCTCTCAGTCTGGGGCAAGTAATGCACTGTATTCTTGGTGCTTGGGGGGGGGGGCAAAAGTGGGAGGGCTTCTAGTGTCCTGGCCCCACTGCTGGACCTCCTGATGGCACCTGGTATTTTTGGACTGGATGGGCCATTGGCCTGATCCAACATTGGCTTCTCTTATGTTCAAACACCCCCTGAGAAAAACTGAGATCTGAGTTTGTATTCAAAAACATTTTTTCTGTATGCACAGTTTTGATGTATCAGAGTAAGCAGCGTGTTTACAAAGCAGACAGATAACATAACAGCATGTGAAACATATTCAGTTTTTAAATAACTCACTATTGGACTCATTCCCAGTCACCAAATGCCAATCCGAATGAAAAAGGCCTGGCATTGCTTCTGGAAAATGCTTGGACTTTGGCGAATCTCCAGAGGAAAGGAGATCAGCAGCAGTTGCTACGATTGCCTTTCCATGCGCCCTTGACCTTCCTAGGTTGTATACAGCCAGTATTTCAATGAGGTTGCTCCCTGTTGATCCTAACATTTAGGAAGGATGAACAGAGAGAAAAAGGGAAGAGAGGGAAGAGCAGTTTGCACTCCTCAGCTAACAACTGCAAAACTCCATGAACTGAAGAGGTACTGACTGAAGAATCATTCATACATTTCCCCCTTTATTTCACGCTGATTCAGCTCACATGATCTCCCTTTAATTCTCAGCAAAATCAAAACCACCTGTGCTTTGGAAGTTTTATAGCACTGTCGAACAGGTGGTGCTAACTTCTGCTTTTCACTTGTATCTCTCAATTATAGGGTGCACAGAGAATGTTCAAAATTCACAGAGTTGTTTCTGGATGTGCTTTCCTGTATATAGAATGTATCTTCTATTTGTGGAAGAGTTTTATACCTTGTTCCAGAGTGTAGAATGAGAAAAGAAATAATAAATCCAAAGATGTTCTTCCTCTTGTGTAACTGGAAACATCAGAACTGCAGTGGAATCTATAGCACCACATAAGCTCCTGCACAACTGCATTACTGCTGCTCTCCTTCCGCTTCCTTTCATAGTGTTTTAGAGCCAAACCAATGTTTTGAATGTAATATAAAATTAACTAAATTGTTTCACTGAAGCATTGGTTCAGGGAAAGAACAAGTATTCAGTTTCTCTTCCTTTTCCTTCCTACTGTGTTTGTCATTCAACTGTAATCTAGTAAAATCTCCCACTATTCCATCACTACATACATGAATGTATTAGTGGCTCTCTTGTCATACAATGATCCTTAATAATAATAATAGTAATATAATATAATAATAATAATAATAATAACAACAACAACAACAATACTTTCAATTTATTAATTGCTTTCCCCAATGGGCTCAAAGCGATGTACAGTTACACATTTTAGACAGGGGACTAACAATGTTCATAGGGGATAGAGAAGACAACATATATTCATTTAATTACACACGCTGTCACTGCACAGTGTAGTCTTCTGGCTTGGCTCCTTATGTGTCTGCAATAGAAAAAGATATAACGGGATGTTTGGATCTAGATAAGGGAGTTATATTTTAGGTCTTTCTGTTTCCTGTCTGCTGCACATTGTCATTAGAGTGAGGAAGGTTCCTTTAGTTGTTTATTCACTATCTTTGTTAAAGCATTAATTTATTGAAAAATCCTCAAGTGAAAGGAAACACATTTTATTTTCTCTCTGTAACCTTTCCCAGGGCTGCATTATTGCCAATGCTTCCTCTAAGCTGTGGAGTCTTGTGGGCAGAAATTCTACTTCGCGGGCTACTGGCATTAAAGTTGTGAGCGAGTGATTTGGCTACCACGTAAATTAGTTTGCTCTGGAGCCATCCTTCCTGAGCTAAGAGAAAAATGTGTGAGCTGGAGGCTAAAAAACTGTGCGCTAGCTCACACTAGCTCAGCTTAGAGTCAGTTTATTTTATTATTTATTTTAAACATTTATTAGCCACCTTTCCACCTTGCAACACACAATTATAAAGAAAACAATTGTTATAAAATACATAAAAGATGACAGGTTAAAATATCTGTCAGGACTGCCAATAAATAAAAATTAAATTAGTCAAGTGCAGTCCTAAATAGAACGTCTTTGGTGGCCTCCTGAAAATTGAAAGTGAGGGGGCCAGGCACTCCTCCCTGAGGAGGTTGTTCCACAATAATGGTGCTGCACTGAAAAGGCCCTCTTGTATGCCCACCAGACAAGCTTCTTGATTGGTGGAACAGTCAGGAGGGCTTCTGAGATCTTAATTCCTGGGTAGGAACATATGGGAGAAGACAGTCCTTCAGTTGCCCTGGTCCCAAGCCATGTAGAACTTTAAAGGACAAAACCAACAGCTTGAATTGGGCTCCAGAGTGGATTGGTAGCCAGTGTAATTGCTGTAGT